TTGAGACCACGACCTGAGCCGAAGGCAGAGGCTTAACCCACTGAGCCACCCAGACGCCCCAATAATGTCCTTTTTAAAAAGATTTTATTTATTTATTTGAGAGAGAGTGAGAGGGAGATGAGGGAGCGCACAGAGGGAGAAGCAGGCTTTCTACTGAGCAGGGAGCCCCATGCGGGCTCGATCCCAGGACTCTGGGATCAGGACCTGAGCCAAAGGCAGACATTAACCGACTGAGCCACTCAGGAGCCCCAGTAATGTCCTTTTTTTTTTTTTTTAAAGATTTTATTTATTTATTTGACAGACAGAGATCACAAGTAGACAGAGGCAGGCAGAGAGAGAGAGGAGGAAGCAGGCTCCCTGCTGAGCAGAAAGCCTGATGCGGGCTCCATCCCAGAACCCTGGGATCATGACCTGAGCCGAAGGCAGAGGCTTTAACCCACTGAGCCACCCAGGCGCCCCAGTAATGTCCTTTTAAAAAAAATGAAGTATAGTTGACATACAATGTTACAGTTAATATCAGGTGTACACACAGTGATTGGACTATTCTTTAAGTGTAGTTATCATCCGTCACCATGCAATGTTATTACATTACTATTGACTATATCCCCTATACCATACCTTTCATCCCTGTGACTTATTTATTTTATAACTGGAAGTTTGTACCTCTTCATCCCCTTCACCTATTTCACCGGTGTCCTTTTATAGTTAAAGGAAATCCCAGGTCACAAGATACATTCTGTTATCTGGTCTTTTTAATCTCTTTCAATCTGGAACAATGTCTCGGTCTTCTCTTAACTTGTATGATCTTAATGTTTTTGCAGAGCATGGGGCAGGCAGTTCCTTGGAAGAATGTCCTTCAATTTGGGTTTATCTGATGTTTCCTCAGGATTTGATTTGCATTATGCATTTTTGGCAGGAATTCCACAGAAGTGACTGTGTTCTTCTCAGCATATCTGGAAGCTCAAAGTATTGGTTAATGGCAAAATGGTTGGTGTTAGCTTTGATCATTTGATTAAGGTGGTGTCTTCCAGGTTTCTCCACTGTAAAGGTACTATTTCCCCTTTGTAATTAAATGAGTATCTTGTGGGGCGCCTGGATGGCTCAGTCGGTTAAGCGGCTGCCTTCAGCTCAGGTTGTGATCCCAGAATCCTGGGCTTGAATCCCGAATTGGGCTCCCCGCTCAGTGGGAAGTCGGCTTCTCCCTCTCACTCTGCCGCTCCCCCTGCTTGTACTCTCTCACTCACCCTCTCCATCTCTTAAATAAATAAATAAAATCTTAAAATAAATAAATGAGTATCTTATATGAAAGACCTAAATGTGAGACAGGAATCCATCAAAATCCAAGAGGAGAACAGAGGCAGCAACGTCTGTGACCTCAACTGCGGCAACTTCTAGCTAAACACGACTCCAAAAGCCGGGGAAACAAAGGCATAAATGAACTACTGGGACTTCATCAAGATAAAAGGTTTTGCAAAGGAAGCAGTCAACAAAACCAAAAGACAACCAACAGAATGGGAGAAGATATTTGCAAATGTCTTATCAGATAAAGGGCTCCTATCCAAAATCTATAAAGAATTTATCAAACTCAACACCCCCCAAAAAAAAATCCAATCAAGAAATGGGTGGAAGACAGGAACAGACATTTCTCCAAAGAAGACGTACAAACAGGGAAACCTGGGTGGCTCAGTCAGTTAAGCCTCTGCCTTTGGCTCAGGTCATGATCCCAGAGTCCTGGGATCGAGTCCCACATTGGTCTGTCTGCTCAGCAGGGAGCCTGCTTCCTCCTCTCTCTCTACTGCCTCTCTACCTACTTGGGATCTCTCTCTGTCTGTCAAATAAATAAATAATAAAAAAAAGAAGACGTACAAACAGCCAGCAGACACTTGAAAAACTGCTCCACATCACCTGGTATCAGGGAAATACATATCGAAACCACAATAAGATACCACCTCACACCGGTCAGAATGGCTAAAATTAACGAGTCAGGAAACAACAGATGTTGGCGAGGATGCAGAAAAAGGGGAACCCTCTTACACTGTTGGCAGTCACTGTGGAAAACAGTATGGAGATTCCTCAAAAACTTAAAAATAGAGCTACCCTATGACCCAGGAATTGCACTACTAGGTATTTGCCCCAAAGATACAAACACAGTGATTTGAAGAGGCACCTGCACCCCAGTGTTTATAGCAGCAATGTCCACAATAGCCAAACTATGAAAAGAGCCCAGATGTCCATTGACAGGTGAATGGATAAAAAAGATGTGGGGGTGCCTGGGTGGCTCAGTCAGTTAAGCAGCTGTCTTTGGTTCAGGTCATAATCTCAGGGTCCTGGGATCCAGCCCCGTGTCAGGCTTCCTGCTCAGGG